CCTCTGCTTGGAAAACCTATGCTCATTGAGGTGCTTCTACTGAGCCTCCTTCTCAGTCAGATCCAATTTCAACTAAGCCAGCTGTTTTGCCCTCTTTCTCGTGGTGGCTGCTTAGCTTCAACAACTGCTTCCTGTTGGGGCCCTAAGGAGTCCGGGTGGGCAGGCAAGGAGTGGCTGGGAGGGGAGTGGTGAGTAGAGGCTGGCGAGGCGCCCTTTGACGTGAGTAACATCGAGTTGCCCATGCCCACCCAGTCACATGACCACCTAGCCACGCCCACCCACCCAGTCATTAGGCAGATCTTATTAGTGGTCTGCAGGATTTAAAATTATGAATTTAGTGGTCCCTGAGGTCTGAAAGGTTGGTGACTCCTGGTCTACAGAACATTTCCAGACCCTCTTTTCACTGGCCTTGGTAATACTATCTTGACATGCCAACAGCACCCATCATTAGCACACTTTTCTGGACTTTATGGCCAGTGTCCATTCTTATGGACCCTGGAATTTGAAGGGCATTACTTGCAAGGAGAATATTCCTATAATCTCTGTCATTGCTTCTTGTGTTCAAGAGGCCAAGCGGCAGGCTTCCTTCCCACCCTCTTTAAAACATGCCATTGCCCAAGAAAAGAAGGCCAGAGGAACAGAAGCTTAAATGACATCTAAACCAGCATTCTCCACATGTGTCAGTGGGCAGAGGTTTGCGAAGATCAGGTTGCCTCCACACCCCAGAGTGACATGACATGCTAAGCATAGCTGCCCTAGGCCTCACCCCAACAGCCTGTGTTGTTTTGTCTCAGCTGGAGAATGGCCCAGTTGTGTTTGACACCTGTTAGAAGAAAGTTGACTGGCCTATATTATCAAGAGGTCTTGTGTGCCAAGACAAGGTTTCTGGATTCCGATGCTTCCCACTTGCTCTGCACCACTGGGGTTGAACTAAGAAGTTTCCCCTTGATACACAAGGAAAGAATTTCTGGGTCATGGAAAGGAGCCAATCTTGTCCTTTGAATAACTTTTTATTTGTGCTCAAGGATTCTCTTTGGATTGAGTTTGACATGGCTATTGGATTTCTCCCCATAAAGAAGTGTTTTGGTAGTCTTTTTTTTCCAGAAAGTTTTTTTGACATTCCATTCATAGGATTTCTTGGTAGTTTCCCATCCAAGTACTAATTAAATCTAACCCTGCTTAGCTTTTTAAGGTCACATCTCACATTTCCCAGAGTGTTGGAGACAGTCCATACATAGAAACCGGTGTAGGTGAGACATTGGTCCTGTTTTCATTTTGATGCATGTCCTGAGACCTGCATTCTTTTGGGGATTATATCATCATCATCATCATTTAACGACCCCATAATCCCTTGCCAGGTGGAGTCTGGCCAACTGAATGGAGCTAGCAGAGTGTTTAATGCCTGGATGCCCTTCCTGTCACCAATGCAGAGCTTTGTTCAGCTGGTATATTCTCATTGTGCCCAGAGAGAGGAACAGCTGCCTCTATCTAGGATCGAACTCACAGCCTCCTGATTGTGAGGCGAGAGGTCCACCTCTAGGCTACCGCACCACTCATCTTTTAGGGATTATATTGTTAGAAGAAATATCCTTCTGGGTTCAGCTCCAAGTGGGGAAAAAGACACTGGAAACATGGAGACTGCTTGGAAAGATGGTTTAATGATGGACAGGATCACATGGTTTGAGTTCCTGAACAGAAAAAGTGTGAGACACAGTGAGTCCCCGGGTTTTATGCCCTCTCTGGCTTTGAACTTCCTGGGGCCCAGAAAAAGTATCCTGATTGGTTGTCAGACTCCCAGGGGGTGGGGGTCTTAGCTAGCCTTGCTGGCTGATGGAATCTTCCCAGGTGCCATGTGGTGAGTTTCTGTGACTAGATGGGTCCTATTGTGTTGCAGATGATGGTCCTTTGACAAAGATTGAGTTTCTGCCTCTGGCCCATTGACAAAGGGTGGGGGCAGGAAGATGGGAGCTGCTTTGTCTTTAAAACATGTTTCTCCATTTCTCATCCAAGGAAACATAATATTCTGCCTTTTTAATATTTCCCAAAATATTTAATTCTTCTAGGAAAGGGGTGGGTGCTAACTTCCTACAATATGAAGGGGGGAAAAACAATGGGCTGGAGTGAAGCAAGAAGGGAATAAAAGAGGAACCAACAGTAAGCAGGAACACATATTCACCTTCTGATGCACTTCTTTTTCCTTCTCCCAAGCACCAGTTTGCAGAAAAGAAGCTGAAACTCTGTCTGAATTCATCCCTCTTAGGCCAGGAGCCAAATGAAAGCAGGATTAGAGCTATAAACTGCTCAGCTCCAGTTTACTCGAGCCACCTCTATGCACACAGACCAGTGGTGAAATCCAATTTTTTTTACTACCAGTTCTGTGGGTGTGACAAGGGAAGGATATTGCAAAATGTCCATTCCCTCCCCATTCTGGGGCCAGCCAGAGGTGGTATTTACGAGTTCTCTGAACTACTCAAAATTTCCGCTACTGGTTCTCCAGAACCTGTCAGAACCTGCTGGATTTCACCCCTGTCACAGACCCCAAAATGTACACTCAAGGAATGCATTCAAAAGCCACACAAGAGATGTGTACCCCAACATCAAACCTCTGACAGTAGAGACGTGTGTGTGTGTGTGTGTGTGTTTGTGTATGTGTATGTGTGTGTGGGAATTTTCAAGAGTCTGTTCCTCTTTTGAGATGAATAAACTGATAGGTTCACTGTGGAAGAGGCAGTCCTGCAAACCGTCAGTAGATGTATTAGCATAGTAGTTTGTGTTTACTACGCTAATCCTTGATTTACAACATTTCATTTAGTGACTGTTCAAAGTTACAGCGGCATTGAAAAAAGTGACTTATGATCGTTTTTCACACTTACGACCATTGCAACATCCCCAGGGTCATGTGATCAAAATTCAGATGCTTGGCAACTGACTCGTATTTATGACGGTTGCAGTAGGGATAAAATGTAAAATGTGTTACTACCGGTTCTGTGGGCGTGGCTTGGTGGGGGATGGTAATGTGACTGGGTGGTCGTGGCCAACTTTTTTTTTTTTTTTAACTTTTCAAAGCATTTTTTCTAATGCTTTGAAAAGTCTCTGGCGATCAGGCAACTCAGCTGGGATTGTCAGAGACTTTTCAAAGCATTTTTTTTACCACCTCTTCAGCCAAGGGGTTGCAGAAAAAAATGCTTTGAAAAGCCTCTGAGGATCCCAGCTGAGCCGCGCGATCATCAGAGGCTTTTTTTTTACTTTTAAAAGCATTTTTTCATCGGAAGAGGTTGTAGAAAAAATGCTTTTAAAAGTAAAAAAAAAAAAGCCTCTGACGATCGTGCGACTCAGCTGGGCATGGTGGGGGGGCACAGGATTTTTGCTACCGGTTCTCCGAACCACCCGCCACCATCGCTACCGGATCAGGCGATCTGGTCTGAACCGGGAGCATTTCACCCCTGGGTTGCAGTATCCTGGGGTCATGAGATCATCTTTTGTGACCATCTGACAAGCAAAATCAACGGGGAAGCCGATTTCACTTAACCGTGTTACTAACTTAACAACTGCAGCAATTCACTTAACAACTGTAACATGAAATGACATAAAATGGGACAAAATTCGCTGAACAAATGTTTTGCTTAGCAATAAAAACTTCAGGCTCAGTTGCGATCATGAGTTGAGGACTACCTGTACTAAATAGAAATACGTGAGATCCTTAGTGATCTCCGAACTTGTTGGTTTTCTTGCAAACGTTTGATTACCCAACTAGGTAACATCATCAGTGCTAGAAGGGAGTGCTTATATACAAGTAGCTGTATTGGACTGGGATATTGTTTACTACCTGATTGTTGTTCTAGTATTAATCTTGATTTTAATCTCTGCTTATCTGGGTGGCAAGGAGGTGTTTTGGCCTTTTAGATTTTTCATTGTGTCTTTTGAATAGAAACATATGATCAGTTCCCTATTTGTTTCAGAATATTTCTGCATAAATGTACAATAGTGGCCAAAATTGTGGAAAGCTTTTGGGAAAAGTGTATTTTTGAGGTTTGATGGCTAATAACACCACTTTTTTTTTTGGCGTTTCAAGATAATCATATTCCACTGCTGGAATGGCCTGGGAATAGCCCAGATCTTAACCCAATTGAAAATCTATCTAGCCGACTAAAGAAACTTGTTAGTCAGAAGCGACCCAGCAATAAAACCCAGTTAATAGAAGCCATAATTCAATCTTGGTTTCACATTATAACAGCTGCAGAACTAAAAGACTTGGTTCGCTCCATGGGAACACGTTGTAAGGCCTTAATTCATGCTTAAGGTTACCCAACTAAGTATTAACTGACATGGTGATAATTTTTGTATATCTCGTTTTTTCTATGGTGATAATTTTTGTATATCTCATTTTTTCTACGTGTTTCACTTATCTTCTTTATACGTAACTGCTATTCTAATAGCAAATCCTTCATAAAAGTTATTGCATTACATTCTTGATTGAATTATCTTTCCATCGATATATAATTTTATCGTACTACTACAGTGTTTCCCCGAGAATAAGACCCTGTCTTACATTTTTTTGAACCCCAAAATAAGTGCTTGGCCTTATTTTCAGGGAGGTATTATTATTTTGGGGTGCGTGGAGCGAGATGGGGCTCCTCTTGCCGTCTTACCTGATTTCCAGCTCTGCGTTTAAATATTTTTGGGGAGGGCTTATTTTTGGGAGGAGGCTTATTTTAGCGCATGCACTCAAAAGCCTGATTGGGCTTATTATCAGGGGATGTCTTATTTTTGGGGAAACAGGGTACTCCCCTCCCCAAAAAAGGTGGTGTTATTAGCTAGTTTTAGAAAATACACTTGTCCCAAAAGGTTTCCACAATTTTGGCCACTACTGTAATTCACCTAAGGCCTCCGCCTAAGCCTCACCGTTTCTTGGATTAGTAATGGTTTCTAGTCATCTTTTAAAACCTAAATGTCACATTATCATTATTAAAACCCTTAATGCATTTTTGTTTTCGTCTGACTTTTTGAAGGCGTAGATGGAAAAGAGGATATCAAATAGCTCCGTCTGCATTCCCCAGTGAGTGTTTTTCAGCTGCATCGTGAGTACAACTCACAATATTTCTGGGCGCTCAGTCAGACCCACCACGGCAAATTCCAGCCACATTCTCACATTCTTCCTGGGAAGTCGTGACCTGAGATGATACAGTCTTGTGAGGACTGCACGGATTCCACTGTTTAACCTATAGATCGGTGTCGGCTTGCTCTCAATGGCAGGAGACGAGGGAAATAATATCTGCATTCCTGTGCATTTACAGGGTGACATCCTCGCACCAAGAATCCTAGCTCTCTTCCCTGTTAATGCTAAACAGCCTGATCAACAGCAACCACAAGTCAATAAGGGGGTTACTATTTATCCCTGTGTTGTGAAATGCTGGTCTCTAAGGGCCGCTCAGTTTGTAAGAATGGGCGGTTGAAGAATGAGCCAAGGGCTATGGGTGAGTGGCGCCCAGCGAGGTAGTAATGTTTATTCAGTGCCTATTTGTGCAGCAGGTGATCTAAAGTTACTGTGAGATACACACACAGAGAGAAATGCATTCACACAAATGCAAATACATCTGTCTCACATATATTTTATTATTTATTTATTTATTGGTCAAATACGTATAAGATAACAGATATAAGTATAAACATAATTATGAATACATGAAATGGATACAAATAAATGGGGATAGTAGGACAAGGACGGTAGGCACATTGGTGCGCTTATGCACGCCCCTTACAGACCTCTTAGGAATGGGGTGAGGTCACAAAATTTTGGCACCAGATAAGACAATGGTTAGAAGAGATATTAACGCAAAATCTAGAAACAAAACTGGAATTCTTTTTACTGGGCATTATAGAGGGCAAATACAACAAGAGTACAATTTATCTAATGTTACATATTCTAACAGCAGCAAGATTGGCCTTTGCACAAAAATGGAAAAACAAAGAGGCCCCCCACAGAAGAAGAAGTATTAGCTAAAATATTAATATGTGCGGAAATGGACAGACTGACTTTGGAACTTAAAGATAAGAATAAATCAGAGTATTATGAAATCTGGAACAAATCTTATTATTGACTGGACAGGAGGAGGAATCCTGGGATAAAGAACAATGTCGACTGGCGGCCCCCAGGGGGAGAGCCTTCTCTGTGGGGGCACCTGCCATCTGGAACGAGCTCCCCCCGGAGATACGGAGGATCCAAGACTTACGCATCTTCCGCCGTGCCCTAAAAACGTTTTTATTCCAACAGGCTGGTCTGGCCTAACTCTCCCTTTTAAATTGGCTTTTAAATTGGGTTTTAAATGTTTTTTAGATAAATTGGATGTTTTTAATTTGTTTTTTGAGCCTAAATTATTTAATCTGTTTTTAATAGTTTTTAACTTTTGTATGTCTCTGTATTTTATTTTGGCTGTTCACCGCCCTGATTCCTTCGGGAGTAGGGCGGTATACAAATATGATAAATAAATAAATAAATAAATAAATAAATAAACTATTGACAATTAAATGTTTAGAGGTTTTTATGTTAATTTTCTATGTTTATTTATTTGTTTGTTTGTCAACAAGTAGAAGGAAACAATAGGAGACATAGACATGGACACATGAAAAAATTTGGCAGAAATAAAAGGATATAAATAGGCAAAACATAGCCATAAACACATAGAATGATTACATATAAATGGGGACACTAGGCCAGGGACGGTAGGCAAGCTGATGCGCTTATGCATGCCCCCTTAGGGACCTCTTAAGAAACACGAAAGGTCCACGGTAGACAGTTTAAGGTAAAAGGTATGGGGATTAGCGAGACTAAGAACAGGATCAAGTAGAGTGTTCCAGACATTTACTACTCTATTGCAGAAGTCATATTTCCTACAATCAAGATTAGAGCGAATTACATTGAGTTTGAATCTATTGATAGCACTTGTGTTATTACGGCTGAAATTAAAGTACTCATTTACAGGTAGGACTTTTTGGTAAATAATCTTATGAACTAAGCTTAGGTCGGAACGTAGACGGTGTAGTTCAAGGCTATCCAGACCTAAAATTTTCAAGCCTGGTGAGATAGGGAATTTTATTTTGAGCAGAAGATTTGAGTACTCTTCTAGTAAAATATCACTGGACCCTCTCTAATGTATTGATGTCTAAAATACATGTTAGATATGATTGAATTGGATATCGATGTAACCTACATAGATGAAAGAATATATATATTTGAAATGTGATAATTAGTGTAAACTTGTATAGAGATAAGGAAGTGTGTCAATTATAAGGGAAAATTTGATGAAAATGTTTAAACTGGAGATGTCATGCTATGTCCACTGTTTTTAATTTGTATTGTTAATAAAGATCTTTTAAAAAAAACAAAAAACAAAGTAGTAAACAGTCTAAGGTTAAAGTTTTGGGGGTTTGGGGATGAAACCACAGAGTCACAGGTAGTGCATTCCAGGCATTGAGCACTCTGTTGCTAAAGTCATGTTTTCTGCAATCAAGTTTGGAGCGATACACATCAGGGGTGGGTTCTACTTACCTTACTCTTCTTTTTTGGTCAATAACTAATTAAAACCACAATCCTCCCAAAGCAGAGGGGATATATTTTAATCATACTAAAAGGAATATTTAGTGTATCTATTTCTATACCACCATAATTCTATCAAAATTTCTAAGAAGTAAGCAAAAAGCAACTAAAACAATCCTGGTAATTTTTTTAAAATTATTATTTTTTTAAAATTTTGATTTATGTGCCTCCCTTCTCCGGAGACTCAGGGCGGCTTACAATGTGCTCAGCAATAGCCTTCATTCTTTTGTATATTTATACAAAGTCAGCTTATTGCCCCCACAACTGGGTCCTCAATTTACCTACCTTAGAAAGGATGGAAGGCTGAGTCAATCTTGAGCCTTGGCGAGATTCGAACCTGCAGTAATTGCAGGCAGCTGGTCTTAATAACCAGCTTAGTAACAGGGTGCCTTAGACCACTGTACTACCAAGGCTCTTGCATAAATATAAAAATCCATTAAAAACTTAATGAGTGATAATAAAAATAAATCAACTAACAACACATCACCACCTGATTTACCCCTAAAGCATTTACCATAAAGCAAATCTAGCCAGCAGGTATCTTCTTCTATGCTTCACAAAAAGGTTTGTTTTCAAATCATTTCCTGAATTACATCAGCAAGGGATTCAGATTAAGGTGCTGCTTGGGTTGTTATTTCTCTGTAAATACCTCTACCTCTTACTGCTTCCTCATATCTAGGAAATAAGGCACTATTTGCTGTTCTTCCCCAAGTCGCCTTTTTTGGTCAATAACTGGAGTATCTGAACCGTGAGGGGTATCAAGTATTACAAGGCACAGTCTGCCCTTTCAATTATTGCCTGGGAGATCCTGGAAGCCAGCGCATGACCTAAAAGGAGGACAGAATATGACTCAGGCAATGTGTGTCCGTTAACATACATAGACTGCTGCATTATGGACCACATGCACCTTTTGAAGGGACTTTGAATGCAGCCCATGTAGCATAGACTATGGTAATCCAGTTAGGTAGCAATAAGGACATAAGCTGCTATGGTAGGTCCTCCCCACACCAGCTAGGGTTGCCAGCAGGGGTGGGCTGCTGGGGGTTCGCAGGGGTTCGGGAGAACCTCTAGCTAAGATTCTGTGCAATTCAGAGAACCCCAAAATCCCACTTTTGGCTGGCCCCGCCCTGCCCACCCCACCCCTCTGAGGAGTTCCCACGTGGCCAGTTTTGGATGCAGGTAAGTGCAGGGCGCGCACGGAGGCTTAGGGAGGGCGAAAAACGGGCCTACTGGAAGTTCGGGAAGGCTGGAAATGGGCCCATTTCCGGCCTCCAGAGGGCCTCTTGAGCCTGGGGAGGCTGTTTTCGCCCTCCCGGAGGCTCAAGAAAAGCTCGGGAGCCCAGGGAGGGCAAAAATCTCTGCGTGGTGCAGGAGGCCAACTAGGCCACACCCACCATGGTCACACCCAACCAGCAACCGGGTAGAGAACCCCTTGCTAAAATTTTTGAAGCCCATCCCTGGTTGCCAGGTAGGCAAACCAGCCAAAACTATGCCAAGGAGCCCAATAGACTTGATCATTTCTTTATGTAATGGAGCTAGGAGGGGCCATAACTGTACAAGATAACTCTTTCAGAAAGCATATCAAAACCTCCATCATTTCTACTGTCACAAAAAGGGAGTAGAGATATCCAGCATGATTCAGATGGAAGCAATGGCCATACAGAGCATATCATTCCCTCAGAGGCCAAATATCATCCTCTTTGGAAGAGATCCAAGAGAGGGATCAAAGGATAAAGAGTGTGAATTTAAATTGTCCACTAAAGCTAGCAATACCGTTTCTATAATTGACAGAGTCCAGAACAAAGATAGTCCAGAACAAAAACTCCATTAAGCTCATGCGCTCACAAATCTCTGGCCATGGATGGGAGGCCATTAAAAGGAAGAAAACAGGTCAATGTTTACTCACTAAATGGTTATTAGTACACTTCTAGGAATTTAGTGTAAGAAAGAAAGAGGAAAAACAAGTCACGAATTAGAGTCGAAGTGGTAAAGTCTTCAAGCGCTGGGATTTGCTGAGAGCATAACACTGCTAGACTATATAGCCTGCAAATGTATTATTAATCCCAACAGTTTACTAAAATAATATATGAAGAAGCTTTTGTCCGGAATAGTCCTGTACCTTCATGTAATGAACAAACAAGCTTGGAAATTTTCTAGCTATCATGTTTCAGAAGGTCACAGAAAGTGATCACTTTACCTGGGGACACTGCAAAAGTCATAAATACGAGTCAGTTGCCAAGTGCCTGGACTTTTTTCACTTGATCACTTTAGATTAGATTAGATTAGATTAGATTAGATTAGATTAGATTAGATTAGATTAGATTAGATTAGATTAGATTAGATTAACAGAGTTGGAATGAACCTTGTAGGTCATCTAGTCAACCCCCCCCCGCCCAAACAGGAGACCCTACACAATTTCTCACAAATGGCAGTCCAATCTCTTCTTGAAAGCCTCCAGTGATGAACCCCCCACAACTTCTGAA